TGGGGGCAGGGAGAGACCCCAAAAAGAGTCACTGGGTGGGGGGACCCCAAAAGGCTAACTGGGGGGGGTGGGGACCTCAAAAGGGGGGGGGCACGGGAGGCACCCCAAAAAGGGTCACTGGGTGGTGAGGGGACCCCAAAAAGGGTCTTTGCTGAGGTGAGGACACTCCAAAAGGTCACTGAGGGGAGGGGGCGCTCAGGGACACCCCAAAAGGGTCACAGGGGGCGCTTGGGGGGGCTTGGCCCCCCCCCCGCCCCACCCTAACCCCCCCCTCCCCCCAGTCCATCCCCTCGGAGATGGAATTCGACCCCAATTCCAACCCCCCCTGCTACAAGACCGTGGACGAGGTGAGTCCTGGGGGGTCCCCAGTGCCCCCCCCATGCCCTCCCCACCCCGGGGGGGTCCCTGAGCCCCCCCTGACCCCCCCGGCCCCCCCCAGGACATCGTGATCCAGCAGGACGACGAGATCCGGCTCAAGATCGTGGGGACCCGCGTGGACAAGAACGACATCGTCAGTGGGGGGGGCAGATTTGGGGGGGTCTCCAGCTTGGGGGGGGTGTCCCCAGTTCTGGGGGGGCTCCAGGGGGTCTCCCTACCTTTGGGGGGGGGTCCTGTGTTCATGGGGGGGGGTGGTCCAGCTCTGGGGGGATCCCAGTTCCATAAGAGGGGCTCCTTAATTCTCCAGATTTAGGGGGGGTCCCCAATTCTGTGGGGGGTCCCAGTTCTGTGGGGGGTCCCCAATTCCAGGGGGGCAGCGGGGGGCTCAAATTCCAGAGGGGGCTCCAAATTTGGGGGGGGGAGGTCTCTAGTTCTGGGGGGTCCTGTGTCCATATGGGAGGGGTTCCCTGCTCCATGGGGGTCCCAATTCCATGGGGGGGGGTCCTCGACTCCAGGAGGGGGGAGAGGGTGCTGTGTTCATATGGGGGGGTCCAGATGGGATTTCCCCTCCCCCCCTCCTCATGTTGACCTTTTCCTCTCCCCCTCCCAGTTTGCCATCGGCTCCTTGATGGACGATTACCTGGGTGAGTCTGGGGGGGGCACTGGGGTGGGGGGGCCCCCAGGGAAGGGCTGGGGGGCTCTGGGGAGGGGGTCCCTCCGCTCTCACTCCCTTCTCCTTCTCCCCCCAGGCCTCGTCAGCTGAGCACAAGGAGCAGCCGTGCCCCCCCCCCTTCACTTGTTCCCCCACTCCCCATTTTGTGTTGCCCCCCCGCCACTTCTTCTTCCCCCCTG